CTCAGTATATTTAAAAATGCAGCCTGGGCGTGGTAGCACATACTTGTAATTGTATTTGGGAGGTTGAGGCAAGAGGATTGCTAGGAGTTGAAGGCTACCTCACTCTCAGCTACCTAGGGAGTCGAAAGGTAGCCTGGACTACATAGACCTTGTTTCAAACAAGCAAAATAAATAAGCAAGCATACTTGGTGAGTAAGTGCTAGGTCCTGGGTTCAGTTTCCAGTGTTCATAAAACCCACATTATTTCATCAGTACACATAGAACATCATTGTTTTATGAAACATATTTTATTCTTTAATGACTTTAATTGGTGATCTAGTTCTTTAATGATTTCATTCAATGTGGATGGAAAAGTGGTGTTATTTTATGTTACTGATTTTTTGTTATTTATCTGAGACCTCAGTCTTAGCCATTTATCTACTGTCTTGATTAGTTTTTTAAATTTAATTTTAAATTTTTTTTTTTTTTGGCTGGCCTAGCCCATCCTGGGGAGGGTGGGGCTGGTATGGCATCTCTAACCTTGGTCCCCTGCTCCTGCCTAAGCTTACCAAAGTAGGCGCTTTAGACCGCTGAGCTATCTCTACTGGTCCTTGATTGATTTTTGATTAGCAGGCCCAATGTTGAATTACAAGAAATGGGTTTTGCTCTACATAATGGAAGAAAATGGTCATTTTTACTTAAAAGTAGCATTGTTAATGCTGATGTTGAATAGATATATTGGCTACACATTGTAGGTAGGGTGTTGTCCTAATCACTTTTCCATGTTGGTGAGATAGTACCTGCAGCCACAGTCTTAAGGGGCTTTCTTTTGGCTCACAGTTTCAGAAGTCTCAGCCCTTGGGTGATCAGCCAAGTCCAGGGCAGGGAAGGGCATGGTAGAGGGATCTGCCTGGGAGGGAAGCAGCTCACAATATGGAGACCAGGAAGCAGAGGACAGAGAAGCTCGGGGAGGATATAACTGTATCTTTGCAGGTCACACCGCTAATGACCTCCCTCTGAGCAGGAGTGTCCCCCCACACTCAGTAGTAAACTACCCATAACGCTCATAATCCAGTCACCTTCCACCAGCCCTGCCTCTGAGCTCATGTTGCTTTTTCGGACCATTCTTAGTCTAATTGTAACAGCTGTCTTCTATGTTTTTCTGTTGTTACCTTTGTGGAACTTTTTTCATTTCCTGTTTCCTAGATATTTAAGGGTGCTAGTTGCTTTCAACAGTATCTTGTTGGAATGCAATTTTTTTTTTGGCGGAATTGGGGATTGAACTCAGGCCCTTGCTCTTGCCAGGAAAGCACTTATTCCACTGAGCCATCTCCTCAGCCCTTCAATTTTTTTTTTTTTTTTAAAATGTATTTTGGTACAGGGTGTCACTATTCAGGTTGCACTCACAGTGATCCTCCTGTTTTCAGCCTCCCCAGTGCCACCATGGTGTGTGCCACCATGCCTTGTGTCAGTGTCCAGCTCAGTGCGCCCCAGGGGCGGGGCCAGCATGGCATGTGGTTCCTGGGATGGAACTCCTGTCCCTGCAGTTGCCTAAGCAGGCTGTTAGTCCACTGAGCCATCTTGCCAGCCCTCAAGTTTTTTTTAAAATTAGGTGTTTTCGAGACAGGATTTTGCTGTGTAGTTTTGGCTGTTTTTGAACTGTGTAGTTCGGACTGTCCTCAAACTTGTGATCTTGCTGCCTGAGACTTCTTAGTGCTGGGATTATAGCTGTATCGCACCATGTCTGGCCTAAAGTTAGGTATTTTCTTAAGTGCATAGTATTCTGTGTTTAGAACATTGGGAACCCACCATCATCATCCTTTTTTTAAATTTTTTTTTATTTTTGGTGGTACCGGGGATAGAGCCCAGGGTCTTATAAGCTATATCTCCTGCCCTTTTTATTTTGAGACAGTCTCACAAAGTTTCAAGGTAGTATTGAGCTTGAAATTGTCCTGCCACAGTGTCTTGGAAATCTGGGCTTACAGGTGTTCAGCACCTTGTCTAGCTTGATATTTTCCTGTTTTTCTTAATTAAAATTTTTTTTTTTTTTTTTTTTTTGGTGGAACTGGGGGTTGAACTCAGGCCCTTGTGCTTGTGAGGCAAACACTTATTCTACTGAGCTATCTCCCTGGCCCCTAAAAAAAAAATTTTTTTTTTAACATAGGGACTCGCTGTGTAGTTCAGGCTGGCCTTGAATTGACCTTAGGCTCCCAAGTGCTATGATTATAGGCCTGTGCCACCACATCAGGCCTAATTTGATATATATATTTTTTAAATATTTATTTAT